TTTGATGTTTTAAAATAAAAAATTTAATATTTAAAAAATATTATAATTAAAAAAAAACATAATAAAATAATTAAAAAATATTAAAATATTACACAAAATTCATATAGTTTGACTTATAATTTATTTTTTACAACAATTAAAAAGAAATGGAGGAAGTACGGTACTTGTTGTTGACTACATCTCCACATGGGAGTCATTCAATGCTCAATCAATCATAGCCGTAGGATAAATTTGATGGACGGTTAGGATTTAATATGAAATTAAATAAAGAAATGTATAAGTAATGAATAATGATTGCTACTTTGGACCTTTTTTCATATTTTGTTAAGATCTAACATGTATAAAGCTGTTAACTTGCTTAAAGATTTGTTAAATTAATCTTGTTAATAATATTTTAAAATTTTTAAATTTGATAATTACTATTTTACGTAGTTATTTAATAATAAGGCTAATATGATAAAAAAAAAATGACTCCCTCCAATTTATTTATTTAATTTATTTTAATTTGATATAAAATTTAAAAAATATTTTTTAAAAAAATGTTATGATCTTAAATTAAAAATATATCAGATAGATTAAAAATTTATCTAATCTTGTAATTTTAAATTTGTCAGTGGAAAAGCTGGAATAAGAAAATTGCTAAAAGGAAAATAGAGTGAAAAAGTTGTCATATTAAAATGAAAAAGTAGATCAAACAATTTAAAAATAAAAAAGTAATAAATTCTTTTAGATTGTTAGTATAAATAAATATAATAAAACATCTATTCTTAATATATAGAATGGATAAAATAAAACGATAGTCTATGTAATGATTGATAATTAGACTTTCATATCGTGTCTAGATCTTAGTGGAGTGTTTTAATGCTTAATTTAATCACAACCGTACGATTAAATTGATGGACGGTTAGGATTAGAGTTTAAAAATATATAAATGTATTTTCTACGTTATATATTGGCTGACATTTACACTAAAAATAGTTATCTACGTCTTATATTGATTGACAACTTAGAAAATACATTTATAACCCATTGTTGCTGCAGCTTCTACCTTTCGAGTGATCATTGGATAAGTTTTTATTGTGTGAAATGTAAATCGTATTAAGTAAGTCCTATATAACGGACTCGACTCGGAAGACAAGACACTGAGGGAGGATCGATCTCTGAGTCATCCCGAAAGACACTAAAATTTATTTTCATTTACTTTCCAATTTATAAAATTAAGAGAATTTTATTGTATTGTACTTTTTAATTTTTAATTATATATAATTATAATTTCAAATATCACTCCTATTAATAAAATTAATTTAGTAAAATACACCCTCTCATCAAAAATTTATAAGAAATATGTCAGGTTAACATTAATTAAGTAATATAAAATAGACAATAGGCAACTAACCATCGATCAATTATCAAATTTCTAATTACACACTTATATTTTACAGGTCAATTATTTTTATATTACTTTAAAATAGAACCAAATACACCAAAAATAAAAACATATGTAATGATTTGATGCTTGGACTTTTCATATCGTGTCTACACTTCACATGGGAGTCTTTTAATGCTAAATTTAATCTCAGCCGTAGGATTTAAATTGATCAACGGTTACGATTAATTTATAATAAAAAAGAAATGTATATATTATTTGATTATGTGAATGTTGTGAACCGTTGGATGAAGTAAATGAATGGCTAGGATGGAGTGTGTTTCTTTTGTGAGTAAGAAGGTGTGTTTGTTTGACATGGATTGATGACGTGACGTGAATTGATTGGTGGTGAGGGAATGACAAATAATTGATGAGTTTTGGATTTTTGAGCTTAGGGTATGGGCATTTTGGTCCAAAAAAAAAGAGATTAATTTGCACTTTATGTACTTTTTTTTCATGATAACGGAAACTTGCCATAAAATCCTGCAAATCACATACGAGAGGTAACCTACATCATGTAAGCCTGATGCGACGAGCTCGATCCAGAAGATAAATCCCTTACTTTCGCTGGCAATAAATTTCGAACTTAAGACTTCCAACATAAAAGTCCCAAGCCCAAACTAGTAGCGACTCCGAAGGGTTTTTGCACTTTATGTACCTTCAAAGTACATATCAATATATTAATAGAGTATCATTACATGTTGATTTATTTCTTTAATAAAAAAAATTAAACGAATATCAATGATACGCACATGATAAAATATCATATAACCGTAAGTATATTATAAAAAATTAATCATTCATGTGTTCCAAGAGAGACAGTTAATCCTTTATGATAAAGTATCATAGTTATCACGTTTAAAATATCAAGCTTTGGCCAGTAAGTCTAAGTAGTTATTATAACTTTATAAGGTACACAGCTGAAACAGATATATTGACGTCTAATTATGTGCTTATTCTTTTTTTTCTTAATATTCGCTCTGTTCTTAATTACTTGATTATTTCTTTTCATTTTTAGTTGTTTCTAATTACTCGTTCATTTTCACAAATTAAGAAAGAATTAATTTTTTTTATCTATTATAATCTCAATTAATTACTTTGACAAAGGTAAAATTTCTGAAAAATATTAAATTTTTAATTCATCTATTTCATAATTAATAAGGCTAAGATGGTAAACTTACTATGTTAATAAGTATTTTCTTAATAGGTATGTTAATTTAAAATTGGACAAATAATTAGAAGAAGGAGTAGTAAAAAAAGTACTATTTATTCCTCTATTAGATATCATAAGAACTAATTCATGTTTTTAAAACACAGTTCTCTATGATGTTCATATGATAAATATTACTCTATAATAGGGTTAGTAAAAAAAATACTCCTTGATCCTTTATGAGGATTTATTCATTTTTTCGAAAAAAAATACAATTTTACTTTTTAAGAAAAATATAATTTTTATTTTCATTAGTTGATATATTTATTTTGTATTTTTTATCCATTAAAATAAAAAGAAAATACAAAATAGAACTAAGAAAAAATGGAAGAAAATAAACATACCAAAAATAAATAGAAGTTTAAGAGAAAAAAAAAAACAACAAAGTCAACTAAAGAAAATAAATTAAATGCCGCAATTCAAGGCCAATTTAATGCGTCGAAAGCTAAGATGGGCAAAACAGACGCCGCAATTTGTGTGAATTTTTATTTTTTCGACTTTTTTCCATTCACGACTATAGTTTGTTTTTTTAAAAAAAAATAAAAAAATTCAGGGCTGGAACACGAAATCTCTAACTAAGAGAAGAGTAACTTCATTCACTGTACTATATCATTTGGTGGTGTATGATTTTTTTAAATTTATATTCATAGTAATAAACTATTTTTTTATGGACATATATTTTAATATTATAATATTTATATATTATGTCTGAATATAATTTCAGTTTCTAAAATCTTATGCCCAATTAGGCATAAATATGATTCCTCAAGACTAAAAATTAAAAATCAATCTATTTAAAAAGTAATAATAAAAAATCAACCTATTTACGAATAAAACGTGTAATTTTGTGGGGAAATAAATATTTGAAATTGGGCCAACTACTATACTTTTGGGTTGGCTTAATCCAATTTTTCATGTTCTTTTCACTTTAATTTGATTTAAATGAGTTTCTTTTGTCTTAAACAATTCTTCAAAATATGCTATGTATATAATAAAAATTATGGTATAATGTACTTATATATAGCTCAAAATTGAAGAAATGAAAATGTAATTGATAAAATAGAGTAATAGCATTCTAAAATGATTAAAATGGTGATATGACAAACAAAGAAAATGCAGGTGGTTAATATTGATACTACAAATTTATTGAAACTAGTGAAATTATTCGCTTTTTATGTGACTTTAAGAAAAAATCAATAAATTTATATATGTTTACTGTTTATATATACAAAATTTGTGAAAATTTTATAAATGACATATATAAGACTAATAATTTCAAATTATGACAATATAATAATACTTTCAAGTTGTAACAATAAAATTTTTTAGGTTATAACAGTTTATTTAAAAAAAAAGTTTTAAAATAATAATAAAAACCGATTTTTAAAAATTAATAAAAAGTAAAAAACGGAAATAGTTGTAGTAATTGATTTGAATACATTAATGATAATTAATAATTGCCATAAATTTAGGAGATTCAAAACAAAATAGAAATATTTATTTTCCTTTTTTTACTCTAATCAATTAAAAGTATTTCAAAAACCAAATTTTCTTTTTTGTTCAAACTTTTCTTTCTCTTCAAAATTTTTTCTGTAATTGGCGTCATTCACTTATAGTTCCAAATAGTTTTGGTTCAATAATCTTCATTTTGTTATAATGGACGACTTCTTATCGATATTAATAAAACATGGTGGTAGATGGGATCCTTCTGGTTAGTATTCATTGCTATTTATTATTTGTGTTTTTATACTAATGAAACATAAAAAAAATAAAAAATTTAAGAACAATGAAACTGAAAATGAAATTTTCTGATTTTGCTTGTGAAACTTGAATAAATGATGGTATGAATTTTTCGTATAGTGTTTTTTGTAAGTTGTATACTATTTTTTGTAATTAGTATATATTGCGATTTATTTTTTGTATTTTATATTAATGAAACTGTAAAAATAATAATTAAGAATAATGAAAATGAAATTTTTTAATTTTGCTTGTGTATAATAGATTTAAATTATGTGTTTTTTTGTATGAACATTAATTTTTTCAGATTACATATTCATTTTTTGAAACTGAAAAAAATTATAGCAAGATTTTTTTAAAATTTAAGTTATCTGATTAAAAAAGAAAATACATTAAATAAAGTAAAAAATTAATTAATCTTTAAATAAAATGTGATCTGTTATAACCCGTAATTAAACTGTTCTAAGTAAGAATATTTTAAAAGTAGCTTTAAAACCCGTAATATTGTCTCTTAAATATATATGGGGTGATTTTTCCTATTCGATTCACTATATACTCAATAAAAAATATTGTTTCTTTTTGGTTCATGAAAATTTGTAATGTGGATAATAGATTGATAATGTGATCAAGCATAAAACATAATCAAGATATATTAATTTGACTTTAACAACACATAGGAAATCCTTCTCAAGAAGATCAAATAAAGTAAATTAAACATAAAACTCATTAATTAATACAATAAAAACCATATTTTTTAATCCATGATTAATTAATTAATATTAATTTCATGGACACTTTGGTTCTCCTGTCTGTTTCTTCCAATCTCTATAGCAAGGACAACAATCTTTATGTTCCCCAACATATCCTGGTGGAACACATTGACACCATCCACAACAATGGTTGCAATAAAACAAACATCTTTTTTTGTGACCTTTTTGTGAGCATCTCACATTGCATGCCTCTTCACATTCTAAACACACAACAAGTAAAAAAAAAAAACAAAAAAAAAAGGTTAAATAATCGACAAATGCATAATATGTGTATAATCTGTATATAATCAATGTATATCGGTTGAAAAAATTATAAGCGATATCCCAATTGACTATTTGTGTAAAGATTAATTGCTTTCTCTTAGAAAAAAGGGACAGATTTATTTACCTCTCTACTTTCAAGATATTTTATGTTTAATATATGCTATACTTTTCGAACAAAAACACTTGTGTAGTAAATAAAGTTATTAGAAATGCTCATTCATACTTCTCAAGAAGTAAAAAAAAGTTAAATAATCGGGAAATGTATAATATATGTATAATGTGTGTATAATCAATGTATATCGATGGAAAAATGATAAGTGATATTTTGACCGATTATTTGAGTAAAGATTAATTGTTTTCTTTTAGGAAAAAGGGACAGAGTTACATCTCTACTTTCGAAATAGTTTACATTTAATATCTGTTATACTTTTCGAACATAAACACCCTTCAATAAATAAAGTAGTTAAAAATGCTCCAAATGCATTTGTAAAGCTTTGTTGATGATAGATGTATTTTTGTTCGCAAAAAGTACAATAAAAGTCAAATATAAACTATTTCTGAAAGCAAATGATAGATATGATCGTTTTTCCTTTCTTTTATTCCAATATAGATTTGTGATTCGATAATCGTGTTAGAAGTAATAAACTATTTTTTCGAACAAACTCAACGTTCTCGTTTTGAACCAATGAGAAGATGGATTTGCAAAAACAACACAAAAATGATAAAAAGAGGTACTTACTATCTTTAGGCACAGGACAAGTTGTTGGACCAACAGGAGGTTGAGCTCTTGACATTGAAGCCATAATGAGCAAAGCCAAAAAGATGTGAAGAAGCCTCATCTCTATTTTTTCTTCAAAAACTAATGTTAGTTTTCAATTTTAATTTTATTTTGTGAGAAAATGATTGCTATGAATCCACTAATTGTGTGCATCTATATATATAGACAATATTAATTATAATCATAATATTGTAGATTTTGTTGCTAATGTAGCATTTACTCAAGACTTATCTACTATGGTTGCATTTATTAATGAGTTAATTAATTACAGTAAAGACTCTTATAACTAAATTACAAATAAACTCTGTATTTTTTAAAAATTAAGCATTTACATCCTTTTTAAAAAAAAATGAAAGTCATACACTTACACCTTCTTCTTTTCCCCCCCCTATATATATATTTCTAAAAACATTTAAACCTTTTATATAAGGAGAATCCTACAGAAATGAAACATCATCTACTTAATTATATATAAGATAATTTTGAAGCGAAAAAATAATAATTTAAACATATAAATTTACATTATGGTAAATATTCTAATTGAATTTAAAAAAAAGTTACTTACATGTATCAAAGTGCAAGGAAATTTACTATATATAGAATATTGAATGAGGAGCTTAGGGTGGTCAATCTTGATCAATTTGCTTTTGTGCTTCACTTTTCTCTATTTATACTGACTCTTCGAATTTATTCTGTACCACATAAATGACAGATAAAATCACGAGGCTCTTGCATCTAGTATTAGTAGTAATAGAAACATCTTGACTCATGTTGTAAAGCTCCATTGTGACATCAAACAAATAACAACAAACAAATTGTAGGATACATACCAAGGTATTACACCAATTGAACCTCCCAATAGACTATAGAGTGTTGATAAGACAATTAATTGAGATTATTTCTACTTAGTACTTAGTAGGATGGAGTGTATTTCTTTTGTTAGTACAAACTACAAAGGTGAGGTTGTGTTTGTTTGATAAGGATTGTTGACGTGTCGTGATTTCATTGGTGGAAATGGAAGGACAAGGACTGATGAGTGGTATGGGTATGGTTTTTAAAATTTTGGGCCTTGTTATGAGGCATTTTGGGTAAGATTTGGTGTGGAAAAATTGAAAATTTAATATTGGCCCAATTACTAGACTTTTGGGGTTTTTGAATTGCCTTAGAGAAATTATTTATCTATACAAAATAAGACTAAAATAGTACCAAATGTAGTAGGAGATTTTTGTTCATCAAAAATATCAAGTGCATCCTCTTTTAAAAAAATAAAATAATAATATACGAAATCATACTTCGAATCTCGCTTAAGTATTAAAATTTTGCTCATAATCTCATGTATGAAAATCGTATGATATCAATCTAAAATATGTATATAACTGTATAAATTTTATATAAAGTTCATGTTAGGTTTATGAAGGAGAAAAACACAAGTTTTTACTTTCGCTCAAGGCTTAGAATTTCATTCACAATTTCATGTATAAAAATTATATAAAATATGTATATAATTGTATCAATTTCATGTTGGTTTCTAAAATTTTAATAAAACAACAATATTATATACAAATTTAATATAGCTAACTTAAACTACAATTTTCATACAAATTAAATATAGCTAATATAACATACAAACTTCAAATACAATTTTCATACATTTATAATACGACTTTAATACATACCTTTGCTTTCTCATTCTTATATGTCAAGAATGATCCAATGGAATCTTCTAAATCAGATATGTAAAATCTCAAAGGATTAGAAGAGACTTTTGATATAATTCGACTGTAATTTGAACTTTGATATTATTCAAATGGCCTCAACTTTTACATTTAGGGCCCGTTTGGCCATGCGATATGGTATCATGATATGAAATCATAAGACAAAATTGAAGGTTTGTTTGGACATGCGATATGGAATTTTTGTGTTGTATATTTTCTCATAAACATTAAAATCCCATAAGTTGTAAAACTATTAAAAATAGCCCCAATTGTTTATTCAATCTTATCAAATAAACAAAAAAATTATAAAATCGCATAATAAATTATTACAAAGTTATTTGTTATCCACTCAAGTAATTGTTTCATCTAACTTTAATTTAATATAAAAAATCGAACATAAATTGTAGTGCACTAGTCTTTAATATAATCCTCCACATAGTACGGACAATTTCCTCACATTGAACTTGCATTTCTTGATCATGTGACCGAGAAGACGAACCAACATTGTTACTTTGAGCCAGTTGTTGGTCAATATCCTCCACAACTATAATTCATGTTCATAGACCATAAATATTTCATCACTACTTTGGTATTCTCGCAAATAATTATGTAACACTGCACAAGTTATGACAATTTCACTTGTGTATCAATATCATAATGGTTCATGCCTTGTTTCAGTACTCTGAATCTATTTTTCCAAGCTCTAAAAGTCCGTTCAATCACATTGCGCAGAGATGAATGCCTATAATTTAAATAGTTCTTTGGCATTTTTGAGGCTCTCTTTCACTTCCTCGGTAATCTTGCAAATGATAGCATAGTCCTTTGTATGGAGCTAAAAAATCCTTTTGTGTTTCGGAAACCAGCATCAAACAACATAATATTTATCTACCAAAAAACATTTTATAAAGAATTACTAAAAGCATATGTGACGTAAATGAGACAGCTTTGTGTAAATAAATAGTATTTCTTCTAAGGATGTAATTTAAAGTTACCATGTGGCGGAAATGGAAATTGTGACGTTGGTTCAACAAGTGCATTCTCAAGTACTTTACTATCATGTGCAGTACCTTCCCAACCAGCAGTAACAAAGGTAAATCGCATATCAAAATCACAAGCACATAAGACACTTTGTGATGTTCTTCCTTTGTGATTACGATATGCTTGTTTGCACCGCTTTAGGAACCTCCCCTTCTATATATGTTCCATCAATCGCACTAACACAATCCTACCAAGTAAAAAATACATCAATATTAGTTTAGTGAACATAAAATAAATTGGAAGCATTATAGAATGCACTTCATAAAAAATAATGTTTGTAAGAGTAATAAAAATAGTGCTTCCAAGACAATGCAAAGTCATAAAATAAATATTATCTCTTTAAACAAAGTTGATAGGAAATATGTAACTAAATAGGGATAACGTACACATAAAATATAAATGTGCACTTATCAAGACCATAAAATAAATTTATTACTCAACAATCGATTGGTGTGAGTTAAAGTGACTATATATTGGTGAGAATAATAAATTTTATGTCGGTGAGAATAATAAATTTTAAAAAGTAATGATGTGATTATAATTTTATTTACATATGAAATAAATGGTTAGTAGATATAAATGTGGGTAGTTTTAACAAAATATAAACTCATGGATCAATTGTTGTATTAAAATATCTCAAATCATGATACGGAATTCCTATATAATTTCATATCATTGTTTTTGGAGAATATGGAATCACATCTCAGGATATGGAATCATGAGATGGAATCAGCGTAAAATCGCATGTCCAAACGCTG